TGTGTAAAGCGCTTTGGGGTCCTTAGGGACTAGTAAAGTGCTGGATTCAGGTGGATCCAGCTAAAATTAAGACAGTGGCAGAATGGCCGGAGCCCCAGACTCATAAGCAGCTGCCAAGGTTTCTGGGCTTTGTAAATTTCTATAGGCGTTTCATCCATGATTTCAGTTCCAAAGTTCCTTTGCAGTGGGCTCCTGCGGCGCAGCAACCATTCTCCCAACTCAAAAATAAGTTTGCTTCCATGCCCATCGTGCTGCAACCAGACCTCGAGGTATACCAGGTTATACCTGTGCGCATTATAAGGCCTCCAACTCTCCATCAGTTGGGTTTCTCAGGTCCCTGTCTATTCCCAGGAGACCCTGGTCGCACATCGCCCTGGATTTCATGAGTGGACTACCACCATCCTCAGGTAATGCCACCATACGGACCATTGTGGATTGTTTTTCTAAAGCTGCACATTTCATTGCTCTGCCCAAGTTTCCCACCACCTTGGAGACAGCAAAGCTGTTGACTGTTCATTGTTCTACCTTGGCATAGCTCAAGACATTGTTTCCGATTGGGGTCCACAGTTCACGTCATGGGTTTGAAAGGAGTTTTTGCTCTGTTCTGGCGGCCCAAGTGAGTCTTTCCCAGACCAACGGGCAGGTTCCCTCAGTTTAACTCCATCTCCATCATCCTGCCTTTGCATTCCTGACATACACGTTGTTCGGCCAAGCTTTAGCTATCAGAAAAATGGCCTCACTTTTGATTTTAGAATATTTTGGTATATAAAGTCATGGCCAAAAGTTTTGAGAATGACACAAATATTGGTGATGAATTAGAATAGCAGACTGTGTTAAAAAGAAGAGTGGTGCTTGAAACATAGGCAGCCATCAATGTGTTGCACGTAAAGGCCTTCACAGGCAAGTATGTTGTTGCTACTAAGATCGCACCTAAATCAACTGGATCATCAGATTATCAGATCATCAAGAACTTCAAGGAAAGAGGTTCAATTGTTCTGAAGAAGGCTTCAGGGCACCCAAAAAATCCAATAAGTGCCAGCACTGTCTCCTAAAGATGATTCAGCTGCTGGATCGGGGTGTTGGCCATCACGGAGTTGGCCACGGGGGATACTATTGTCAAACACGATAATTTCAGTTTTCCTGTCATTTAGAATAAGAGAATTACCTGCGAGCCAATTTTTGACCTCGTGCATGCACTCGTGAAAGCCGTGCAAAGACATAACGGGATCATCGGTTAATTCGAAATAGATCTGTATGTCGTCAGCAGGACAATGATCCCAAGCACACCATCAATTCCAAGTCTAAATGAAAAAAAATATATACAAATGAACACTTTGCTAAAATTCCTTCATAGTGCTTTGACAGATTTATGGCCAAGGATGGCACAACCAGTTATTACTGCAAATATTTTGGATTTACCTGGTTATGTTTGTCTAATATTAAAATGTGTTTGAGCTTAACCATATGTTAAATATGTTTTTTTTTTTTAAAAAGAAGGAAAATAAATAAGAAATCAGCAACGGGGCAAATGTTTTTTTTTCACATGATATTGTATTTAATGCCATTTGAGTCTCTGTGACAGATGACATAGAAATGGACTATAAAATGGGCCATTACTTGAAAAGCTGTCTTAGACTATTAAGCTCTTTCTACCAGAGAAGATTTGTCAAGTTTTTCATCGGTAAAATCCACATACTAAACCAAACGTGTTTTCCTTACAAATGTGGCACCATTTAAGGGGAAATAAACAGGCATGCCAGTGGCATGAGATTTAATTTAAAAGTAGTGCTTTATTATATGAGATGCTTATGAAGGGCAGATAGTGTACACACTCTGCATGAGTTTGCAGGTGGCAGGTTTGTGTCCCGGGCCTGTAATAGTAATGCAGAACTATAGTAAGACACTGTTACCTTAAGGAAGTGGTTGGAAACACGACTCCATAAAACAGGAGTAAGAAACTGTACGTGCAGCCGTGGAGGACACTGGGAAACTGGGTTCTTCTTCTCACTCTTAAACAGACCAGCTGATAGAGGCATCACATTCTGACAGGACACAGAGAAAAAGTTGGATAATGACCAAATACATACATATCTATA